GTGAGTAAAGTATCTTCATTGTACTACAAATGGCCCAAAACTGACCTGGTTATTTTAGCCAGGGATACATGTCAGCTAACTGCCACCAGTTTGGATTTAGACATTATTGTAAAACCTAAAATTCAACCACAGATGACTTTGTATGTTTTCTAAAAACAGACCTGACCTTCTGTTTTTCTTTGTCCTAATTTCCTGCTCACCTGAGGAGGTAATTAAGAAGCTGCCCTAGAGGTTTTTTAAAGTGCTCCCTTTAGAAACCCCTCTCTAAAACAATGGTAAATACACTTCAGTTTTTCCCAAAAATGATACATTTGTTTCTTTATTGTTTTATATAAAAACAGTCCGCAAAAACAGTAAAATATTCTGAATAAAAAAGTAGAACCATTTATACTGAGATTGGAAGCAATTTTGCCATGTAAAACTCTCCACTAGAGGTCGCCAGTCAGTAAGAGTTGTTTTTTTTTAAATCAACATCTGCTTTGGGCCGCTCCATTTCTTCCCAGATCTCGTGACCAAACAGAGAGGAGTCTGACGATTAGTGCAGCCTGCTGAAGGATTTTCACACAGTTCTTTTACAGTGTAGAAGAGGTTGGTTTTTTTTCCATGTGAAGTGTTGAAGGCCCCTGACCTTCAACACTGGGCTCATGACAATTTTAGGACAGTGGTCATCATGACCAGGACGGTCTCCTTTTTCCATCCTCTTCCTCTATACCACGCATGTCAAACTCAGGCCCGGGGCCCAAATCTGGCACGCAATGTAAATATATATGGCCTGCGAGATCACATCAAATGTGTACTACAGTTGGCCCAGCCTGTGTATAGGCAGGATTTGTAGTATTAGCAGTGTATGCGCTATCTTATAGCATATACATTTTGTTGTTTTTTTTTATTGTTGGCCTTTGAAAAGAAGTTTTACAATAAAAAGAACTGGAAAGGCTACAGATAAAGAGGCATAATAAGAAACAAATACCACTGATGTGTTTTATTTCAAATTTAATTTCCTCATGTGTTTATAATATTAGGCTTTGGTTGTTCCAGATTCAATGTTTATGCAAAACTAAAGGTTGTTTCCAATATGAAAAAATTCAACATTACAGATCTGGAGAGAAGGGGAAATATGCACGTTTGGTCCGTGACTTCGTCCCAGTTTTTAATTTTGGCCCACTGTGAATTTGCATTCGACACCCTGGCTCCATACGCTTCTAATTCCAGATACCTGAGCGTTAGTCAACCAGAGATACATGTGCTTGTCCGACAGCCACACACCCTAAAAGGAGCTCACAGACTCTCATACAGACGGTGTTAAAGTCCAGTGAGGTGGATACATCCAAAACATTGAAAACTAGGTTGATGTTGTCCACCAGGGGGACACAGTGGGTTTGGACTGGCTATGACTGAAGTTTATACTTCCCACAGGTCACCAGTTTTTGATGCCCCGCAGGCTTCCCTTTATAGGCAGAAGGGTGAAGACAGGACACAGGCATGGATCCTGCCAAGAGACATTCATTAAAGACAACTAACAGAACTTCTTTTACAATGTTCCTGAAAACCTTATAGATCTCAGCCGTTAGTCCATCAATCCCTGGGGCCCCCCACCCCTGCACAGCCTGCAGGACTGACTGCAGATCCTGCTGTATAAGAGGGGTCTCATCTGAGAACCAAGGCGGTCCATTTCAGAACTCCCGCAGTGGTGTGATCCTCTCTGTACTTACTTAGGGTCATAAAAATGCACTGCTTGGTTGAAAGTTAAAGAAATAACCGGAGACAGCATCCATGTCTTCAATGTTTTAAAATCAGGACACTATAAAGCTCCCCTTGTGTTTTCTATCCCTCTATTTCATTGGTGGATTTCCAGTAGAACCATAACGTTCTGTGGACGTTTTTAATAAAAAATGGAATATGAAGTTGATGGGTTAACAGTAGGGATGTCCGATAATTAGCATATTATGTAATATCTGTGAGAATCGTTATTGATTTTTCCTCTGATAGTTAAAGTCACTAGATGGCAGCACAGCTTATTTAACTAATCTGATACTCATACAGTGGTTTGTACAGATAAATAAATAAATATACCCAGGCTTAAATCTAAAATAAAGTGAGCAATATCAGGTATTGGCAAAAAAGTTCATATCGGGCATCCCTAGTTAATATCTTTACTGAAAAAAATAGAAAAATAATATTGCAATGTAACAATACTTACAATGCAACGGTCGGATAGAGAGAGACATGTCTTAGAAAGAGACAGAAGACATACTCACAGAGCTCTGCTAAAGGACCTTCAGACGTCTGCACTGTACCAACAAGAGACATGTAAACAAATGGTCCTTCCTGTAAACAAACAACAATTAGTCAGACTGTCAGTCAGACAGATGGATCTAATCTCATTTAATTTGAATCTAATTTTTATCTTAATCTTAATACTGATGTAATCTAACCTCTGTAGAAGAACACATCCTGCAAAAGACACAGTTTAAATTAAATAACATATAAAAAATAATCAAGCCTGTCTAATTGGTTTTACCAGTGTCAGGTGGACGATGACATCATAAAAAAGCCACAGTAGGATCCACCTGTCCGTCACCGAGCTCTGCCCCCCAAACCTGTGTGTGAGCATGGCAGCTGCCAACACCTGGAGGCTACAAGCTAACAGCGAACAGACTGAGACCAAAGACAGGCCAGGGGGCGTTGTTGAGTCCATTGCTCCTGCAGTAAATTAACTACACTCTTTTAGTATCGAAGTTTAGTATTTAGTTTGTACTACATTAAATACTGCAGTCAGTTTTAGAGTCTGTACTACAGTTCTCTTGTTGGCACTGCTGTTCTTCAGACAGTTCTTTGATCAGTTCAACATTCACTACTTCGGTCTGTTGTACACTGTTCAACTGGACTGTGTACAGACGTGTCAGGCCACACCCACTTTTCCTCCTCATTGGCCCCAAAACCCAGCCCCGTGGATGCCCTGATTGGCTGATAAAGAAATAACCCCACCGTTGACTCCACCTCTCTGAGTCCTACGTCCTACCACAGACCGTCCATGTCTGCTGAGTGGGACACACTTCATTTAGGGAAGTCACCGATTGAATATACTGCCCAACAACACCAACAGAGTTCTGTTGTTTTGTTTATTACTTATGTGAGAGTCAGACAGGAAACAGAGCCACAGGATAGAAAACACAAAAAAGCAAATGACAAAACAGGAGGAGGAAATATAAACAGGCAACATAAAGTGATCTTTGGCAACTTATTACAACTTGTGCAGAAAAATATTACATCAATTACATAATACTTAAAACAACGACGTGAACTGATTAGCTGACTGTCTTGTGAATGTCTAATTCTAATGTGATCAGATTACAGTAATCTGGAATGTTGTATGGTTTTAGATATATGTGTGTTAATGTTATTAATAAGGTGATTGTTAAATATAGAAATGAGCTGGTCTTGAATAAACAAAAACGTTTGTTTGTATATGTTTAACTGGAAACTCACTTGAAGAATTTAAAATTTAACCAAACAACATCAACAAAAATGGAAATGGATAAAGGTGTTTGGAAAGTATGGTTAGTTTCTCATCTTTTCTCTCTATGTTTATCCACATTCTTCAGAGCCCAATGCTAAGCTAACTTGTTTGCTGAGCTAAAGCTAAGGCATTGTGCACTTGTCTCCAAACGTGTCCAGTAAATTATACTCTTTTTGTATAGGTATTATACTGAGCTAATGAAGAATGTGTGTTTCTACTTGTTTCCAGGTATTATGGCATACAAATGGAATGGGAAGACACACTTCCTGATGTTATGGTATGCTAACAGGCTAATGTTGTGCTAACTGACTCAAAGCTTCATTTCTTAGAGACAAAAAGTGAATTTCCTGAAACTAACATTGTCTGTATTTGATGTTGTTCTTCTATTAAGGGCTTCCTCTTATTCCTACTCTTCGCCCTCTTCCTCTCTCAGCTCTTTATGTTTCTCTTCTTGAGGGAGTGTAGCGGACAGAGCGTACTCTGGACTAACTCCCTCTGAAAGCACGGACATATCTGGCTCTTCATTCTCTTTCTCCTCCTCCTTCAACTCTTCTTTCCCTTCCTCCTCCTGCTTTTCCTCCTCATATTCTTTATTCTCCTCTTTCACTTCCTCCTCCTCTTTTTTCTCCTCCTCTCCCTCAGCAGGGGCCAGATGAGCATGGACCTCAGTGAAGGGTAGATCCTGGACCTGGATCTGGACTTCAGCCGACTGAGGCTCTGCTGGTTGAGACTCAGAGCTGCTTCGAGGCTGAGGAACATCAGAGAAACATCATAAGAATATCAGAAAAAAATCACTTTAACATCCAAGGACATCATTAGTACATTAAAGGAACATCAGAGGAACTTCAGTAGTACATCACAAAATGATGCCGTCTAGAGAGCTTAGGAAGATATCAGTGAGAGTTCTAAGGATCACCAGAGGAACAGCCAAAGAACTTCAGGGGCAAATCAATGAAACATAGGAGGTCAATCATAAAGAAATCAATCAGAAGTGAAATCTCAGGGAAATATCAAAGGAACAGCTATGAAACATTACAGAAACATCAGAGGACAACAACAAATCTGAAGTGTTGAAGAAACATCAACACATCGTCAGAGAAACATTAGATGAAATCATTAAAACATCAGAAGAACACTGGAGGAGAGACCGAAGATGAACGTAAAGTCAAACAACTCACTTTCCTGATGCTGAAGGTCAGAGGAGAAACTTTCAGGCTGGACGTTTTCTGTTTGATCTTCTCTCGTTGTTCCACAGACACCAATTTGGTACCAATTTTAGTCATTTTCTTCTCAATGTTCTGTTTGGAGAATGCCTTCTTTAAACTGTCCACCTGCACGGAGACACAATGGCAGGTCACCACAGATGGACACTCTGTCTCATGGACCTTTCTGTCTCTGTCTCTGTCTCACCTTCTTCAGGCTGGACCTTTTCAGTTTCTCTGCTCTTGTCTTCTCCATGTTCTCCAGGTCCAGAGGCCACAGCTCCTCCTCCTCCTCTGGTTCTGCCTCAAGACCCACGTCTTCATCAGAAGACAGGTTAATGGTAGTTAGATCGCCCTCTGCTGGACGGCTCATGTCAGCACCTTCTTCCTCCTCCAAGATTTGGTCCCGTGGAAATGGAGGAGGGTCTTTTACAAAGACTGAGGAGGGGATCTCCTGCTCTTCCTGAGAAGGTGGAGGTCAGGAGAAATGTAAAATGAGAGTCAAGGAGGCTGGGAGAAGATAGGGAGGTGAAAATACTGACCTGGAAGATGAGAACTTTGAAGTGTATTCCTGCTTCCCAGGTGGGCATGATTTGCCTCCAGCTTCTTTACCTGAGCTCCCTGACGCTCCATCCTGTCACGCACCTGACCATGATTGTTACACAGATCACATCACAGATTGTTACAGACTGACCAATTCATCAACCAACAGAAGACTGGTCCATATACACAGTTCATAGATGAATTCAAACACATTGATAAGACACATCATAATAATAAATAATGGGATCAATCAATACCTGATCAAAACAATGATCTAAACTCAACATTGTCCTGATCAATACAGTTCAACTACAGGAAGATCAATACAAATGACCAGTATAATCTACTACTGAACAAATGAATTATACTTAAATCAATACATTGATCAATGCAGATGATCATAAGATCAATCATGTATTGATTTCTTGGTGTAATAGTGCATCAATCAGTGTAGATTCAAGAGTATTTATTGGTGTATTGGCCATGATATTAATGGGTGTATTGACTGGTACATTGTTCAGTGTATTGATCAGTGTATTGATCAGTGTATTGATCACCTCCTTCATGGTGACAGACAGCTTGCGACTCTTGTCCAACAGTTTGCTGACAGTGTTAGACGTGTGACTGTGGCTCTTGGAGAGTTTGGTCATGTCGGCCTGGATTCCTCTGACCACGCCCTCCATTTCCACCTGATGGACCTGTAACAACACAACTCTATTGATTATTGATCCATCATTTTAACAGGTTGTCCAGATGCAGAGCTTTTTTTTCTTTCTGAAACTCGATTAGACTGTTGGGGATTAAAGGAGGAGTTGGAATCAGTGAAGGTTTAACCTGGGTTTAATCTTACAGTTAGTTTATCAAACGGATACAATGTGTTGCAAATGTAATTAATAAGATTAATTTTGGGTTTATAAAAGTCTTGATCCAGGTTTAATCTGAGATCTGCACTAGTTTCAAGTGTCAAATTTGATTATTCTGAGGTACTGTATTAGTTGGTTCAAACTGAGGTTTAACAAGGATTCAGTTTACATTGCTGCCAAGGAACGGTGAAATTCGATTTAACCAAAGGCGTAATCCAGGATTAATAAATCTTATACTAATGCAAACTGAGGTTTTTATATTGAGAATGGTTAGAAGCAAAAGTCAAATGAGAAAAAAAAAAAAGAAATGTAGATAGTGAGTCACAGACAGAGCTGAGTTCAATTCAACTGCATAAAAAAGGAGTTTATAACTTTGTTCTGAACCTCTGAACCCTGAACCTGGTACTGATTTTAGGGTCTAATCTCCAGAGTGATCCACCCAGTCTCACCTCCATCTTGTGCTGATTCTCCTGGACAGCATCCAGCATGTTCACCAGTTTGTCCAATAGAGTCAGGACTGTGATAGCATTCACTGGACCCTGACTCATTTTCTCCAGGTCCAGCTCGGGGAAAGCTAACGATGGCATAGCTGGGTCTTGGTCATTTTGGTCCTGCTGGTCCAGAAGGTCCTGGTCCTGAGCAGGTACCAGCAGATCCTGGCTCTGGTGGGTCTCGATGGTTACCATGACGATTCTTTTTTAAAAGAAAATCAGGAAAAACTTTGTTGCTGGTGAAAAAGACCGAAGACTTTCCAGTCCCTGTGGCTCCACCCACTGTGTGTGTATGTGTGTGTTTGCTGTGCTCTGATTGGTTGGCTCTGATGAGAACTTTCCAACCAACTTCCAACACTGGAAAAACATCCACACCTTTAACTCTCTCATTGCCACACAGAAAATGGAAACAAATTAGAAACTCCTAAAGACAACCACGAATCAGCCAATCAAAGATCAGCTGCTAAAACTATAACCCTAAATGCTTTTTGAGGTTTATCAACTTGACAAAATGATTCAATATTGATGAAACTCAAGGTTTCATCAGTAAAATAAAAATTATTTTAAAAGAAAAAAAATCCTTTTAGCAGGAAGTTTTACCATAACTATGAGTGAAGCATCAAAAATACTCACCCACATCTAGTTCTTTTAAGGTTATCCTTTTAGAAATATAATGCTACTTCACTATTCAAGTGCATATGGGTGAAAAACAGATTTAAAAGCAGATTTGTGGTCAGTTTCTATTTTTTAAAGTGATCTTGGGAAAGTTTAAAAACCAAAATAGTTTTGTCTCTCGTGATAAAGTTTGTGACTGCTTTTTGTTACTGTTCTGTGGAATGTTGAACCCTCAACTGAAAATCACAAGAGAAAAAGGGAGTATAAAGAGTTAAATGTCTCTACCACACCCGAGGGGGCGGGGCCTGTGACCATGACGACACAGCCACAGGGTTTTCTCATGTTTGTAAGGTGAAGTCATGAATGTGTGCGAGCCTGTGTTCCCCTCTCTTCCTCTTATTGTGTGTTAATGTCCCTCAAAACAATCTCACATCCATCTAAGCTTCCTGTTTCATTTAATGTACAGTTTGTAATGCTGATGTAAATAATTGTACATAATAATCCAGTACTGGAATATGCTAATAATTGAAAATAATCTGTGACTATTATCCTTTTTTACTGATCACCCAGATTGCTTGTTACAGTTTGTGGATCAGAATTAGTCTGTTTTCACAGAAGGTCTGTAGAGTTATTATAGGTCAAAGGTTGTGCTGAAGAAGGAGCTGGGTTAACAGTGAGGAATTTCCTCCCTGAGTCTGAGAATGTTAGAGACCACGCCCACCGCGTGACTTCGCACTCAAAGCTGTTTCAGCTGTTACTAAAAATATTTTAATGAGAATGTTGCTGTAAATATGAATGCATAATCTTAAATTTCAGCCTCTGTCACCACGGGTTTTTTTTTATATTTTAAATAATATACTGTACTTGTAAAAAAAGAAGAAAAAAATTTAGATTATAAAGATTATATTCCTTTGGTTCCCTCAGGTGGACATAAATAAGAAATACAAAAAGTAAAAGTACAGACTATTCTTTTGAATTTATTGTTTGTATACAAAACATAAATAAAAAAGATAATGACATCCTGTCTAATTTTAAGCCGTTTTTATTCCTTTAAAAGTGGTGTTTGGCAAATTTTTAGTAATCTTTTTAGTACGCTTTTAGTCTAACTTCAGTCCAAACATGTAACCACAATAATATTGGAAAAGCAGGAGCAATAGATCTTGTTTAATTCAAATTACAACTGCATAAGTACAAGTAAAATTGTCATTCGGGATTAGAATGAAAGAAAAGTCCGTCAAAACGTCCGTTGAAAGAGAAGCCAAACGTACTTCCGGTTCCTGTCCGTCCCCAAGACACACACGGAGACTTTTTCTTTTTTCTTTTTTACAAATGGGGCGTGTCTCCTCACAACCAGCAGGTGCAGAAAGTTTATTTAGATTAAAGCCGAAAACATTATTTAATACAATCTTCATGGAAAATAATACATTCTTTCACTTGAGGTAAGAAACACACATCAACCTCGCCTAGTTTGTTATAACATTGTTTTAACAATGTTTTAATTCGAACATAGTTTAAAACCTTGTTTCTTCGATTCCGGAGATGACGTATATGGCGTAAATGCAACAGTTTATTAAATTGTCACTTTCACAGCTTTGACTTCCAACCTTGATAACTAAAAGTAATCTGTGTTGCAATGAACATATTAATACTAGTGACGCTGGCGTGATGATTTTATGACACCTGCGTCTGCTTATCTGAGACTCAATAACGATGTTGCTAATACCTGTCTGTTCAACGAAACATTATGTAAAGTCTGGTATTCATTTATGATATTGTCACATTTGAACCATTATGTACAAGTATCTGTATACGTTAATAAAACACCAACGTAAATGTTATACTGTTGTGATGCTAATAGAGCCAGGTTTGTATGTAAACTTGTTTAATTATCATCATAGACTCCTCCACTGTTTCCACCTTAGGGTGGTGGTGTAGGTTTTTAGGAGGATCATGGTTAGGGCACTTTGACGTCTTGAAGGATGTGTTGCATTGTTTGCGTCAGACCTCCACAGAGACAGGGTCCTCCACAGGGCCGTCTGACAGGTAGCCATTTATAGAGACTGTTCTTTGTCTTCCTTACTGGAGAGTCCTTGACCAGTTGAGAACTGACCACTCTTGTCAGGAAGAGGACCTGGCATTTGGAAGGCTTTTGGGTGGAGGTGGAAGGGAGTCCAGGGCTAGTACTGTGTTGTTCTATGACCATTGCTCCAGCCTATATTGTGATGATTTCTTCCCCCGTAGACCAGTGTCTTGTTTCCTCCATTACATCCCAGCTAATGTAAGATGGGTTATGCTTGCAAGGTGGTCGATGAAAGAATGATGTGTCGGCTTTATTTGCCTTGATGATATGACCGACGGGGTACATTCGAACATAGTTTGTTGATGCTTGGCTTGACCAGCACCACACAGGTGCACAGTGCTCAGTGTTTGTTGTACATGGTTGATTTCAGGTGGGTTGTGCACATTTGTCTCTTTTCTACAAATTTATTTTAAGCGGCACTGCTTGCAGTATTCTGAGAGTGATTGTGTGCACAGCAGAGTCTTCTTTCGATGGTAGTGTAAGACTTGTATTCAGTGGATAAGCACAGGTCATCAGCATAGATTAACCCTTGTATGTTGTTGAAGTGAGGCTGCTCCTGGTGTTAATGTTAAAAAACATTGTTGCCAATGCAAGGCCTTGTGGTAATCCATTCTTCTCTAGTCTCTGGGGACTGTGGCTACCATTAATCTTAACAGAGAAGTTCCAGTTGGTCAGTAGAGATTTGATTATTAGTACTACAGCTGGGTACTTCACAGTGTTGGCCACTGTTAGGAAGAGAGCCCTAAAATTCACTGTATCGCAGACAGTGAAAAGCTGGAAGAATACAGCTCCTCTTATTTGTTAGGTCTTGAATACCTATTCAGTAAACGGAGTGAAGGTTAAATTGAGGTATTATACAAAAGAGAGAGCATAAAGAATGATCCATAAATACGTGGTTCCTTAGGATCCATGTCTGGCTTTGGAGGTGCTACGATGTTTGCTCTTTTCTAGGGTTTTTTTTTTTTTTTTTGCTAAACAGGCATTGAATTAAATTAAGAGCCATTGCTCAGCATTTCTTACAGGCGACAGCCCTGAAAAGACTTGTCTGTAGTCATAATAATAAAGCAGAAAATAAAGGGAAAATCATTTTGTTTAAAATAATAAAACATTTTTAATTTCATCAACTAGTGAAACTAAAAATATTTTTTCTACAGGACTTTGTTTGAATTTAGGATCATAGTACCTGGTGTTGATGTGCTGTAAATTCACCAGCAGATGGCGCACTACGTTCGTTCTTTTTTAAAATCCAGAAACAGCTTTTAATACTGCATACTGATTCTGATAATCTAAAAATGTATTGTTTTACCTTCTGCTAAATGCAGGAATTGTGTTAAATTAATTATATTCTGGTTTGTTCTGTTTTAAACGTGTTTTTTTTTTTTAAAAAAAGCTGAGCTTTAAGCTGAGGACAGATTCAGCCTGGATTGTCTGCTCTCAGGTACAGATGTTTCTAAGTAAACATAATTAAAATAATATGTATTTGCTCTAGCTGGCAAAAATGTCATGAATTTTGGTTAGAATAGTAATTCCTTGAAACTGCTGAGATTAGTGGTGCTAGGTGATCGTCTGTGTCTTTGGACTGTTGTTGGTGGCCCTGGAGTCACACACTTGTCTTAAATGTGGTGAATTTCTAAATTCCAATAGAAGACTGTGACATCATCCTTTAATGCCTGTGGTTGAGGGAGAACAGACGACCGCCGGCTGTACCTGTTAAAGAAATACTGCCATCATTATATCTGTTAAAGATGAAACCAAAACTGAATCAAAAACAATTTGAAATGTACAATATCTGTGACTCTGAACATCTGCCCAGCTGCAAAAGGACCACCACCTCTATCACCTCCTTTTGACTAATTTTCCTCCTTCATCACTCTGTCTCCTCCACTGACAGTCCTATTCTTTTTCCTTCTCCTTCTTCTCCTCCTCTACCACCACTCAACCTTTTTCTTCCGTCTCCTCCACCTCCATCTCTCCTGTTCCACCTCTATCATTACTGCTCTCCCTTCTTCAGTCCTTCTTTTCCTCATCTACCACCTCTGTCATTACTCCATCACTCTCCATCACTCACCCTTCACTTGCTCCTCCTCAGCCTCCCTCACTCCTTCTCCTTGTTCCCCTCACCCCACTCTCCCTCCTCCATCAATGAGGTTGGAGGTGTGTCCAATCAGAGAACAGGTCTTCATTGTATGTTGACTGGTCCATAAATCATGGACTGTTTAAAAAAATGTTTTTTTTTAAATAAATCAGAACAGATGGTGAGGAGTGAGGCCCCCAGGACTCAGGGGAACTGGCTGTGGCCCTGCCAGTGCATGATGGGAAAATTTCAGAGCTATAGCAGAAGCTCTGGGTCACTTCCAGACCCTGGAGGTGCAGTAGCAGCGCCACCTATCCTACTCCCTGCCCTCCGTTCTGCAGCTCTGGTTCACACCGAGACCTGTCAGGATTTGACACTGAATCTGTCAGATTTTGATAAGGTAGAAGAAAGGGAGCAGAAAGAGGAGGAGGAGGAGGAGGAGAAAGAGGAGGAGGAGCATCTTATTTACTGAATGATTATCATTAGAAAGATGACATGGTTTTTAAACCTCTCTTTTACACAGTCTGATGTCCAGAAAGTCAGTGACTTTACATTACAGCATATTTGAGGGTCCAAGGTCAGTAGACATTTTGAAGGTGGGCTCTGCTGCTGGCCTCCATCTCATGCTGTCCTTCCTCTGCCTGAACCTCCTCTACATCACTGCTGCTAACATTAGTGTAAATTATGGTATAATAATTTAATAAAGTTGGCAGCTTGATCTGTCCTTTTTATTACAATTATCATCAGGCAGTGGGGTTGCGTTCCATCACTGGAAAATAAACACCATCCATCATGCTTGTGGCGATTAAACCCTGACAGGCTGAGCTGCGCTCTGCATAAACACAGTGTAATGATGAAGCTGGAGGAGAAGGAGATGTTTCCTCATCGAACTCTCTGCTTTCACCAGGGAACATGACAACACAGAACCGTGGAACTAAACAACTCTCAGTTCTGCTAGTTCCGCTTTGTGTCCTTCCAGAACTTTCCAGAAAACCTGGCACCACCGCCGCTGCCACCTTCTGGCCATCGGAGCCTTAAATCTAACTTAATATGAATCTGTTACTGACTTTGAGAGAAGCTGGACTTTTTTGTTTCTCCGAGTTATCGCTGCTTGAATCAGCGTTGCATCAGGATCCGCTGAATGTTTCATGTTCTCTTTGTGTTCCTCTCCAGAACAAGGTGTTTCTGAGGAGAAAGGAGCTGCTCTTTGATTTTGTTCGTCCTGAAAAATGTATGATCACACACACACACACACACACACACACACACACACACACACACACGAAGCGGTGTGGAAGAAGCGGTGTGGAAACACACGAGTATGAAGACAAAAATAAACTTTACAGAACTGCTTTTGCTCGACTAAGCTTCCCTTAAGGAGAATGTGTTTCCTCTGGTTACTGCCAGCCTCAGGACAAAAAGTCAAGTATTAACAGCTAATGTTAAAGCTGCTGTTAACCAAAGCATGAATTCAAAATCAGAAAATTGACAAAATGAACATTTGCAGCTCTGTGTTTGACTGGAGTCTGGTCTTGGTGTCAATCCAGCTGAATATTAGTCCCAGTTTTCATATGGTCTTTGTCCAGTCCAGGACGGCTTAATCTTGTCGTGACCCTAGTCCATAAATGTATCGGTCTGATCTCAGTCTTGGTCCATTCTTGTCTTTGTTACATTCCCAAAAACTTTTGGTCTTCTGAGACTTTCTCAGCTCCGTTCCTGCGGGTTCCTGCTGGAACTTAGGGAGGTCAGGGCCACTCACCAACGCCCCCTCAGGTCTGGACCCTCAGGAGGTTTCTGGAGGATGTAGGTCCTCATTAAAACTCTGCTGTTGTGCCCTCTGGTCTTCATCAGCTGCTGCAGCTCCCTCTCAAAGGACACCGGTGGTTAAACATATGCAGGTGTCAAACAGCAGGTGTCAGCAGACAGCTGTGGACTTCTGATGAGGAGACATGGAAAGAAGAAAAAAGAAAACACGGTCTGATATTAAATTCTCAGGTAAATGTGGGGGTGGGTGATCTCTCCGCTGATCACTTTTTGGTCTCAAACTGGTTTAAACTTCTAGCTGTGACTTTAGGGTCGATTTTAAAAACTCGTAAATGTCTAATTTCACTGCCCTTTTGAAAAACTTTGATCCAAATCTTTAGAGGTTCAGGGAAAGAACAGGAGCTGAGATATGTGACCAACCTGTTGGTCCATGTTGTGACACCAGACATCATTACTGCTGTTTTATCCCCAGCTTTGGTTGATGCCCCTGACAGCAGTATAAGTGGTTTTCCGTGAAAGGTCACAGGTTTGATTCCCACTTTATTCTCTGTAATCGCTCTTGAGGGAGACTCTGAACGTTACCGTGTGAGTTTTTGTCTTGTTGTTCAGACAGATGGTGAGTTGTTTAAAAACCAGGTGTTATTTTTCTCTGGACCATGAATCATGAATATAGATGTGGTATTAGTTCACGGCTCTGAAGAACTGGCTGCTGATTGGACAACAATTTCTCCCTCTCTGCTCAAAATAATTTAAGATTGACAGTTTTTTATTTAATTTCTGTGCCTATTTTGCTACTTTTACTTACATATTTTTTAAATCTTTAGCTACTTTGGCAGCTTTGGCTAGTTAGCATAGCTATCTCTCAGGCTAATCCAAAAATGTTCACTCACTCTGGTTACAGTACATGTTAGCAGGCTTAGCTGTTAACAAATCTCTAACAGTAGCATTTGTGAACGTAGACTGCTCCTTTGTGGTGACATAGCTGCTCATTAAGATATTTCTTTTGCTCCTTTGATTTTCTCTTTGTGAACCTTAATTGTGGCCTTCATTTTTTTTATTTTAGCTAACATTTCTCTCTTGCCTCTGTTTAAGAAATAAGCAGTTCTTTAAGATTTTCTAGCAGCACTGACCTGTGATTTAGATTATTCAGTGAGTTTCAGTGAATATTGAAGAGATGTCGACACTGTGACAGTCAGGTGGCCTTACTGAAATAAGAAGGAACTGCACCTTTAATAATACATGTTTCTCACAGAGGCCACCTATAAAAATGTCTGAGTCACTGGAGCTGAATGTCAAAGTCCTTCACATCTAGAAAAAAAAAGAAATCTTAAAAATCTGTTCAGGTTTTTATCTCGATGTCAGAGAGAATTTAACAACAGCAAAACAGACGTTTCTGAACCAGTTACACAAAATATAAAAAAAAAACCCTCATCTATCGTGAAGGTGATAGTTAAAAGCTGGCACACTGCCAACAACAATTAAAATAGCCAGTTAGCCAGTTAAAAACAAGCACAGTGACGTAAAGTGGAGAAACAAAATAAGGTTAGCATGATGCTAACTCCTAACTCTGCCACAGAAAACCTTAAAGAAATATTAGTCATTTCAGTTCACAATGACACTAGAATCGTTGTAGTAATGTCTCCATCACTGTGTTTAATTTAGATCTGTTATCAGTGACACGGACAGACCACAACAGGAAGCTTCTGTGTTTTCTCTTTGGACCTTAAAGAGAAAAAAAAAATCCATTAAATTAGCATTTTTACATATTTAATCTAGAAGCCATTGTGAAAAGAGTGGTGTGGTTGTGTTAGCCCGTGGTGGATGATACATGCACAGACTCAGACTGACAGACTCTCAGCTGCCAGTTTGACCATGAGGCTCTGAAATTGATTCATGAATTAACATCTCCAGCGTCAGGAGGCGACAGCGGCTGAGGTCTGGAGGGATTTAAATATGAGTGTAATAGAAATGAATGAGCTGAGAGTGTTATCCATCATCTGGCCTGACAGTGGCAGCGTTAGCACTGTCAGCGCAGCAGTAATAACCTCAGTGGTGATAATATGATAAGGAGTCACCGCTGTCATCGCTCCTGTCCTCACTTTTTACAAAACACCATCACGAAAAGACTTTGAGACAAGATGACGGCTGCTGCTGTGTGACCTCACAGAGGGAGGAAGGGGTTGGAGCCGAGTTCACCCACATCCACAGACCCAGAAACCTTGTGGGTTTTCAACTTCCAGAGTTGATCTTTTAACATCAGTCCATTGTTCAGCTGGTGCTTCTTGGTAATGATGATGTCAGTGAAAGAAAACACAAGAGGAGATTTGATTATTTTAAGTAACAATTAAGTGACGAAAAGGTACAATTGAAAAAGTTTAATTATAATAAGTCCATTTTTAAAAATTGAGCAAAGCTGCAGAAAATATAGCTGAAAAAAACAGAAAAAACAGCTGAAAACAACTCATTATTTTATGTTTAGTTGGAATATAACAACACGTTTGTTAGATAAATAAAGGTGTGAAACTCAAATATAGCTGACCAGGAGAGAGCAGTTGTGTTTTTTGTTTATATTTACTTCAGTAACACGCACTTGACCACCGGAGGCAGCAGTGGACCGGCAGCTTTACTGTGAGCTAAAATCTTTGATATGCTCTTTTTACTTTAAAAAACAAACAAACATATGTCTATGTATACCTGCTAATAACTGTAGTAATCCGATCAGTCAGTTTTCCAAAAACTTTGACAGAAAACATTTCTAATAAATAAACTAACGATGACTGTGTCACTGGCGCCGATCTTTAATCCTCGTCTCCATCAGTAAATGAAACGTCTGATCTGCTCTGAACTTCCTGTTCAGATTTCACAGCCTCGGGCCATTTTTTTCTCTATATCTCAGAGAGAATAAGAAATTCCACTGGCACAACCAATCAGAGCACAGATCAAACACGTCCGCCCCTGAATCTCCTGACACTCTAAAACCATTTGTTCCTCTCTCTGGTCTCACAGGAGCCTCTGTGTTCCTCCTCGCGCCCCTCCTCCTCTGTCGACATCTCCTGTGTTTTATCTGCTTATTTTATTTTAGCAGCAGCGTTGGCGTCGGTGCTCCTCTGGGTCGTTCTGTCACTGCTCATATCCAAGAACAAACAGACCCAACTGCTGCTCCTGCAGCAGCTGCAGCTCCACCTGTAGGCCGATTGGGCCGATTATTGACAATGTGTGCAGGACAGGAGTAAAGAGCCACGGTTTTGTTAAAAATACAGTGGCAAAACTGATTGACTTCAGGAAAACAAGGATCATTGTGTTACTAATTTTCTGAAAGAAGGGAAATAAAAAACTTTTTTTATTAGAAAATGAGACATAGCCATGTGTAACAGTGTAGGAAAAAGACGGCTGCTGCAGTTAGGGTTCGATACAAATCATTATTTCAAAAGTTTATAAAAAAGATTTATCTTTTTTTTCAGACAGAAACTAAAAACAAAAAGATTCCTAGCAACAAAGTCATAAAATTACATATTTGATGGAGGCAGCGGTGGGTCATAACTGTCGGCTTTTTTTTTCTTTTTCAAATGGAGTTTACACAGTACTGTACAGTTCAACAAAACACATTTGGTTTAAAGTAGGCACTTCACCATAGTCCAGGCCTGTATGACTGAGTCATGTTGTTTATACACAGTATTGACTGATTTTGGTAAACATACAAACACAAATATGGCTTTGGAAATATATATGTATATATATTTAAATGTTACATTTTACAAGTAAAAAAAAAAAAGAGTCGTTGGACTGATGTTCACTGGACACCAGCTAATTCTGTTAGCTTAGCTTTTATGTACATGAGGTTAAAACATCAGGTCAAGGTAGCGGTTCTTCTCTACTCCTGTTTGTAGACCATGACCTTGGAGTCCATGCCTCTGTCTGAGTCTCAGTCTGCTCTGTCATGTGGTGTTAGTCAGTGTTAAACCATCTCCTTATCAGAGCTTATGTTGTTATAAGAAGATCTAAAGTCGTGGTTCTCCCTGAGAACAGCTAGGTTCCCTGTAAACCGGGGTTCTTGATCTGAACTCTTTCATAGTCATGAATCCTTTTCCATCGAGACACGTGTTAGGAGTCTTATCTCAGAAAGTCCTGTTTGGTTAATGACGGTGTTCAGACCCAGGACCCAGGACTCAGGCAGAGCCATGTTGACAGACCTGTAGTCATTTGTCTGACTGGCTGTGGTGAGGGACGTTGGAGGACATTTCAGGGGGTTTTAGTGCTCCCAGTTCAGCCTGGCATGTAGGTCTTTTTACGGCAGTAGGGTCTCCACACCTGCCTGTGTGCGTCTTCACTAGAGGGGTTGGTGACGCATCTCCGGTGGTCTGTATTTGGCCTTGAAACTGGAGTCAGAAGAGGGTTCTTCTTATCAACTTGTTCCCTTGAGGTGTGGCTTGAGCACCCACTGATGGTGAAGAGATGGTGGCTGAGCTGTCATTTCAGCTCAAGGTGTTGGAGGGTCTGGAGATGCAGTCTCAGTGCTGATGTAGATTTTCAGCTGGGGTTCATTTTATCAGAGAGCAGCTGATCAAAACCCATTCCATGGAAGGACGTTGGACCTCAACCCAGGCTTGAATTTTCCAGGAGAAACCTTATGAAAAAACAGATGGGAAATAATTTAATGAACACCACCTTTAAAAACAAACTTCTTGAAAGTGCTGCTATTCTCACCTGTTGCTGGTACTGGTGAGATTTCGAGGCCAAGGTCCAGAGTGTTGGGTTTTTTGACGCACCAACACAAAACCCTCACTGGCTTCAGCCACTTCTTCTTCAGATGCTGCAATAGCTGGCTGGTGTCACGTTGTTTCAAAACCTCCAGAACTATGGCCAAAACTCCAGGGGAAAGATCTTCAAAGCTCAAGTTCTCCATGAAGGGCAGCTGCTCCAAAGTGCTGAAGTCCTCCAGGTTTTCCCCGCCTACTCCACTATCATCGTTGGTGGCACTGACAAATGATGATGATTGGTTGCTACATGATGACTGCCCACCAGGGTAGGACTGATACATCTGAAGAGAGTAACAAATGAGGATTATAAAAAAAAAAACCCAGGAGAACCTAAAACATTAGTGAACCAGTGGTGAAGATGGTTTGAAGTGTCATGGAGCCCTTTATCCCCCAAAGATGAAAAAAGTTGGTCCACAAAACTTGAATAAAAATGGTAAATGTAAAGTAATTAATATATCACACTCCAATAAATAAATGGACAGAGTCCAGTTCATGACAGGATCATTTACATTTTTCTTCTTGAAGATGTTTGACCTTTTATTCAGTTCTGCATAAACATGAAACATTTCCAGAAATTAAACCATTCATGTTGTCTACCCTTGAACGTCCTAGTAGAACATTAAAGGCCAGAAGATGGTGTGCTGTTGAAGCAAAACCATCAACAGTCTGAAGTTGTGTTTTAGTTTCATCCCAGCACCAAAGTAACTTAGGGGCGTGTTAGCTGTGCTCTTTAATGTAGCGGATCATCAGCTGGTGGCAGCGTGCTAGTATGTCCCTGTAGGTTCTCAGTCGTCGTTACATCAAGGGCAACTGGACAGAGTAGGTTTCTTGAAGACATTCCACCTCTCATCCAAGAGGAGATGAACTGAAAAAGCTTCTTGGATACGAGGTGAAACGTCTTCAAGAAACCTACTCCGTCCAGATGTAGCTGTTGTTGGAGTGTGGTTGTATGTGCTGTTGGCCTTCACTGTCGTATCAGTATCTTGTGAGGTACATTACAGCCACCTACTGGGCCTACTTTATACTGATAATTATTTCATGAAGAGAACATCCTGATCACCATCAAAGGAAAGCTAAATCCGACAGAAGGTAGAAACCTCGCTGATATTCACAGGCCCAAATACTTTCAGTGACCCTCTTGAATACATTTTTAATGATTCCCTGGGTTCGTTTGTGTCCTGCTACTATAGGTTTAAGGACAGTAGTGCCGATTCCCTCGTTTCTGTCTTGCTTCATTTTCATCACACTCTAGTATTTTTTCACTGTTGGAAAAAAAGGTCTTGATCACAGCATGATGAGCAGTTCTGTTTGCTCATACCAGCGGACACCAATTCCCAGTCCTTGAATATTAATCCTGGACTGTCTTTCATCATCTTCAGGGTCTTTGACATGTTTTTGATTCGGAGCCGTCTCCTCCGTTGGTTTGAAACTGCCTCAGACCAGGAAAAAGGACAACCACGGCCTCAGTGATGACACGAGTCCATGACTATTCATTAGGATTCATCCTGAAAGACTCATCTATAATGTAAAAAAGGCAGAACAGAAAGTACTGCTGCTGCTGCAGCTTTTTTGAAGTGTGTGGTCCGAGCTCTTTTTTGCTTCAGGAAATCTGCTGAGGTCTGTGTGACTCTAAACATTGTGGAGATTTAGAAACAAAATCCGACACAAAAATGTGAAATAAGGCATGTAAGGCTCTGCGTTGGCCACCGTTGTCCTCTACAAACATATATTTATCTGTAGAAGTAGCGCCAGGCTCAAGGCTGTGCCATAGTTCAGTGTGTCGACGGTTATGGATATAACTCAAGCTGCATGCTGATGAGTTCATGGGCAAGACACTCAACAACAGCGTCTCTAGTGGTCAAACTGTGACAGATTCTGAATGTAATCCCCCCTGACAGGAGCAGCTGTATTGGCAAAACAATCAGAAGATATTATTAAAATCATAAGGTCTTACACAGAGGTTGACCCTTGTGACTGTGACGACACCGGGTTATGTCCAAAAACATAACTGACTTTTGGATAGATGTTGAAGATAATGGAAATGACTGGTGAAGGTGAAAAAGGCCACAGGTGAGCTCACCTCAGTAAAGTCTGTCCGTGGGTGTAGTTAGAAAAAAATAGAACAAATGTTGAAGGTCAACCGGAGGAAAGTTAAGGAGATAACAAGGATCGATAACCAGATTGATCTGTTAGTGATTCTGCATATCTTACCACAGAGTTTTCTGTCTTGATAGATTTCATGTGCAAGTACTCATCCCTGCCTCTAGGGGAGCTGCTGTCTGTTATCTTCTCCTCTGTCTGGATGACGTCTCTGTTCTCAGCCTCGTTCTCCACGTCCTCCCTCTGTACTGGCGGCCTGGGTGTCAGGTTGCTTCGCTGCTTCTTGGTCACGTGAGCTTCTGGACCGTGGACGGTCTTCACGTGTTTCCTGAGTGAACTGGGATCAGTGTAGCGTTTGGTACAGCCTGGGATCTTACACACATACGGTTTCTGCAAATATGAAGAGAAACAGAGACGATGAGAGGGTGAAGGGCCAGTCAGTGCTAGAAAATCAAATGTGAAAAACACCACAAACAAAAGTCGTAATTGTTTATATTTATGACAAAAACGAACATAAATGAGAAGAAGGAAAAAACCGCTATCATCACTCTTTGTCTTGACAAAGGAACTTGAAGGAACTTTGAGGGAACTTGGCTGCTGGGTTGGTAGGTCCAACATCTAACCATGGATCTTCTTCCCAGAAAGACTCCATGAGGTTCAGACCAGAGCTCTGTGTGGACCACACCGTCACTTTAGGACGTCTTGGTCTTCTTTGTGCCGCGGGTCCTTTAAAGGACACTGGTTGTGCTCTGTGGATGTTTGAGAGCAGGAACAGCAGCTCTCGACATCCTACACTCTGCTTTGAAGGCTGGACCTGTGAAGACACCTGCTGATTCAGCATCACACCGTTGGTTCTTGTTGCTGTGCTCAGTCGTGTGGTGAAGTTTGACCCGTGGCTGTGGAGTTTGACTCCACAGCCACGGGTCCTGAGCTTCACACTCAGCCAGTTCTGTTTCAGTTACTGACTGTGTTTCATCCTCGTGGTTCAATGACGTCAGTTTGTAATCATTGGTTGATTCTGAACTTTTCCACAGCACGTCATAACGTCTGACTGTGAACTGTGAACTTGCAGAATAAGTGAAGTTTACGACAACGAGGAGTGGGATTTAGTTTGTTTTCTCCCTTGCTCACATTTATTATTTCAAAAACTGTTCGGTGAAGATTGTCTCCGTTCGCAGATTTCGTTCCATAACTGCCTTAAACTTTTGTAAATCTCCTGGTTCTGGCAGCGGTGGTTGGTGTTGAACACCCACTCTGATTGATAAGTACTGAGGTTTCATCCTCCACTCTCCACCTGCAGGTGGTCCGTCTCTGTGGGCCACGCAGTGATTTGTCTGAACACACTGTGGGCTGTTGTGCTCATTACGTCTACACCTCATTATTTACTGTGAAACCACGAAAAACCTCATTATGTGAACGGAGGAAATTCAGGCCAGCGTTGCCACAGAGGAAGGTGACCTCCTGTCGTTTTGCTGTTTGTCACTCCAAACGTTTCTCTCTCTCTCTCTCTCTCTCTCTCTCTGTGCGCATGCTCACCTCGTTGGAGTGTGTTCTGTTCTGGTGTTTGGCTCGGTCCGAGGCGTTAGAGAAAGCCTTGTTACATCCTTCGTGTTCGCAGACGTACGGTTTCTCCCCGGTGTGAGAGCGAAGATGAGTTTTCAGGTTCTCCAGTCGGGAATAAGCCTTGGAGCAGCCTTCGAACTGGGCACAAAGTTTGAAGAACAATTTGTAAACATCGTATTTTAAGGTCCAGTGTCAGGTCTGAATCAGGTTCATGTGAATGTTATTTATTAGATAAACGTCTGGTTCTGTCCAAACAACACATTCTCAAACGAACTGAAATATTTTTAAACAAGTATTTTAATACTTGTCTTTATGTAGCAACTAAATGCAGATTTATTTTTATTTTTTCTCCTGTATTTACCAAAAACCCACCGTGCACTTGTGTGGTTTCTCCCCCGTGTGACGGCGCATGTGAACCACCAGCATGTACTGAGCCTTGAAGGGTTTCTGTTCCCGAGAACACTGATCCCAGCGGCAGACAAACTCCTTCTTCTCCCCGTGGATGTGCTCGTTGTTGATGTGCTGCGAGACACACACACACATACACACACACACAGTTTTTTCAGTTACTTTTTACTTTAATACAAAAGACAAAAATCACAAACACAAACAGTTAATTACCTGATGACAAATTCTAACATCTGCACAATATTTTTAAAATGTAATAATTTTTTAATGTATTTTTAAAATACTTTAATTCAATGTAGCATAAACACAAACCACAAACATAATTTTTTTTTAAACTTTATATCATCAAAATATAAAAGTGAGTGTCCTCATACTCTGAACATGGGAGAAATAATAATGAAACATTCAACTTTATTCACTCGACAAAACACTTGGCTGCATATTTTAATATTTAGTTCATAAATTAAGAAACAATTTTCTTAGGCCAAAACACTTTATATTTCTGTTCGATCTAATGAATTCAAACTTAATTAAACATTTAACTCCCTGGTTTTTGACAAATGTGTTACATTATATTCTACAAGAATATACAAATGACTTCAAGCTTTTTTTCCCAGAGACTTCGTTCAGTTTTCAGCTCAGTGAAGTCACATCGTTCTATTATTTTAATTTTTTTCTCTCCTCACTTCTCACTGTTAGTAAAGCCGACGGTGTTGCCGTGGTGTGGGGTTCTTACGTGGACCAGCTGCTCCTGCGTCTCGTACTCTCTCCTGCAGTTTTCCCACTGACACTTGGTTTCATAAAACACCTCCTGCTCCTGTTTGGACCCGTCTGGCTCCACGTCCTCCTTCAGCTCCTTCAACTCCTTCCTCTCCTCCAGGCTACTGAGCTTCTGTGGAGTAGACACAGTGTCAGAGGAGACTCCAGTCATGGATTAAAACACATTCCCTCTAAACTGCTCTCATTAATCTGCTCTGAGCTGGGCTTGGTCTCAGGAACATGTGGAATCATTTTCTTAGTTCCAGATGTTCCGTCATCTGCTTCGCCTGCTGTAACGCAAAAAAAAGTCAGACGCCAAAGCTTCAGGATGTTTACAAACAAAAATGTTTCCTGATCAGGACAAACAGCAGGGGGGGCTCTTTTTTAAACAAAACATTTTTGTTTGTTTTACTTTATATATATATATATATATATATATTTAAATATACTTTAAAGTTTTGCAACAGGTTCAAATTTAGTTCTGAAAATGTTTTCCAAAATTAAAAAAAAACTTAAAAAAAACATGGTTTTCATTCCTTAAACAAGAACGATTCAGGTTGTGACTCGGGATGTCCAGTAATATTGAAAATATTAGCGTAATAATATAAAACCGGTAAGATTGTTATCGGTTTTTCTTCCCATAATGAAAGTCCAATAACACAGTGCCTGGGTTTGTCCAAATCTGCTGGAATCACACGTAGGGTCCTGAGGCGTTCAGGGGCAAACGGCTGCGTATATCGGTATCGGTTGATATCAAAATTGGAAATTAAGTGTTTGGACAATATTGGCAGATCTGATATCGGCAAAACATTCATAACGGACGTCCCTAGTTGTGACCTGTTGTCAAAGATGTCCCTCAGAATTTTACATAGAAGGAAAAGAACCTTTGACGTTAAAGATTTATATTGATCTTTGTGTTTGTAACCAATGTTTAACACGTCGACGCTCAGAGAACTCTAAAAATGAAATGTTAATGTTCCAGCTGCACGGAACTGCCAGAGTTCAAAAACAAAGTTAAAACCAAAATAAAAAAAAATGTAAAAAAAAAAGTTTAAAAAATAAACATAAAGTATTAGAATTAGAATGATATTAATTAAGATAAACAGTAAAACTATAGTAAAAAATTATAACATTTAACACATAAGAAAATCTGAAACTAAACATTATTTGATCATTTTTTGAAATTGACTTTTTATCTGTTTTGTTTGTTTAACTCACAGATATGTGGCAACCTGACGGGCTGCTCTACCAACACACACACACACACACACACAGAGAGAGAGATAAAACTGCTGACTGACGCTTGTTTGGAGCTGTACACACATATACTCTCTCTCTCTCTTTCTCTCTCTCTCTCACACACACACACACACACACACACACACACACTCTCATCCATTCTCTCAAACCCCAGGGCGCTGCTTCTCCTGCTCCTCCTCATGCATCATCTCCACATCTGCTCCACAAACACAGCACAGCCACACATTTGTCTCAGAGAAGCAGAAAAAAAAAATCTTCAGAGATGAAAATAAAAGAGCAGATGATTTTTCATGAAAACAAAGTGAAGTGACACACTTTTACTCCCAACAACACACAACAACAACAACAACAACAAACGAGAACAAATTATTCAAAGCTTTATCATCTTTATCTCTTTCACGCACACACGTTTACAAGGAGGTCGAGGGGGGGGGAGGCAGGGGCCCCCAGGGGGCAGCAGTTCACACCTCGGAGCAGGACACATACACACAAACACACAGACGGGAGTTCAGTGCTGGGGGAAAAAATAATAGTAAAAAATGTTTCAGCTTCAAATAAATATTTTTCAGTTAAACTTGTGGCTGTTATTGGTACATTGAAATAAGTCATTGATTGGTGTGACTGCTTATTGATCACTGTGCTGTTGGACACGGTGGACACGGTGGACTCCACTCACTCTGAAAGACAAAGCTGGCTTTTAGTCGTTCTTACCGGAGAGAACGACTTCAGTCTCTCTGCTTCACTTTTCACCTTTGACCTCTTGGTGAACATGGTGTCAACGGTGCTGCTGACAGACGAGTCACCCCCAAAGTTCTAAAGGCAGTGCAGAAGAAGACAAGGTTCATGAACGCTGTACCATCATCACTCCTTGTTGTTTTGTTTGCACAGACTCCTGGTCTTCACCTTGGACGTCAGATCACTGCTGGAACTCAGAGACAAAAAGTCGAGGCCCGGCTGTCGGCCGCAGAAAGGAGGCGGAGCCTGGATGAACGGGGTCATGTGTCCGAACGAGCTGACGCCTCGCTGCTGCTGCTGCTGCTGCTGCTGCTGCTGGGAGAAGATCTGCTGGGAAGTAAACGGGCCGATGTGGGGGGGGGACGGGAGGCTGGAACTCAGAGACAAAAAGTCGAGGCCCGGCTGTCGGCCGCAGAAAGGAGGCGGAGCCTGGATGAACGGGGTCATGTGTCCGACCGAGCTGACGCCTCGCTGCTGCTGCTGCTGCTGCTGCTGCTGGGAGAAGATCTGCTGGTACGTAACCGGACTGATGTGGTGAGGGAACGGGAAGGAAGGGCTGTGAGGAAGAAGGGAGAGAAACAGGGAGACGTTAGGAGACGTTAGGAGGTGGAGGCGGAGAAAAATGAGAAATCAAACACATAAGAATAACAAGGAGGGAAGAAACATGTGGGAAACGTTTGGAATTAAGATTTTAAAAAAAGTTATGAAATGTCCCAAGGTCAGGGATCAAGGTCTGAGAGTCCCTATAAGAATTCTTGTAGAAGTTCTTGTAGTATTTCCCAGGAGGTTCTGAAAGAACGGTGACATTTGCAATGTTGCATCAACATCAGAAACCGTTTCCTCCCGGTGGTTAACGGTGATAGTTGTTTATCTGCTCCACCTACACGGGTCCAGACGCCTGAGGTTTACTCCAGGCCAACTAAAGTATCCTGGTTGTAGAACACTGGGTCATAGACAGATGACCTTTGACCCATCAGTTCTTTGTCACTGATCCTGATGAAGACCTTCTGGACAGGAGGTGCAGCTGAGGGTTGTTAGATTCTGTGGTTTCTGGTTTCATCTGGACTTTTGAAGACGGTTTTATGGCTTCAGTTCAGTAGTAATCTCACTACTACGTTCAGGGTCGGAGCTAATGCGATTGTAATCTCCAAGCTCCTTGAAAAACAGTTGGAAATGAAAATCTCAGACTAACTAACAAAAGCACAAAGAAGATCAGCTTTTAGATTTTTATCAAGGTGAGTTCTACGACCTCTGAGGAGAATGTGAAAAGTGAAAGTGGCTCAAAGAGTGACGGGATCTGGTGACATGGACGTGTAATCTGAGATTAGACCAGGAAGAGTGGTAGGACGAAGACGAGTGTGAAAACAGGAGGATAACAACAAGCCCCGGTGACGAGGAGTCGAAGGAGGAGGAGGAGAGAGGGAACTAAACAAATGAAGAATGAGTGACACACGTTTCAGGGTGAACTAAAGTACAGCGTGACTCCAGGTCAGCCACCTGAGACCGCCCACTGACAGGTGCCCGTACGAGCCGCCGGCTGCTGAGCTGGACCTGGAGCTGTTGATGTAGGCCACCAGGGAGCTGGGCGACGTCCGAATCATGGTCTGCAGGTCGATGCTGCCGTCCGACAGTGGAGGGATCGACATGGTCCGCTTCCTGTTCAGCCTGGAGGTCAGTCTGGGACTGGGGAACCTGGACACTGTGGACACAGGGATGAACAGGTGGGTCAGAAAACCTACACAAACATCTTTACTCAGACTCAAACACTGAACACTCCAAGTGATGACATTTGAGTTCAGAGTAGGCTCAGTGACACAAACTGACCACCGGAGGCAGCAGTGGAACAGCAGCTAAAATGAAAGGTTTCCTTGGTGCAAGAAATGAACGTGAAGTTGAATGAAAACCCAGAGGATCCTGGCTGTACGGATGTTTTTGTCTCCGCTGTGGCAGACGCTTCACTCTGCCAACATTAATTATATTAAAAAATCAATTCTCTGTAAATTATCTTAATTTAACACAGTGAAGTAAAAGTGATTGTGCGATGTTTATCGTTATCGTATTAGGAGGTGAATTAATGAGAGATTGATTAGTTGGGTCTGGATGTTAATGAGGTCAGATGTGGACTCCTCTGGTTTAAAAAACACAAACAAACAAACAGACAAACCTTTGGTTGTTTTTTGTAATATATTGAATTATCCTGTAGCTGTTTTTTTTGGTCTCATTTTAACTGTGATTACAGATGAATTAGTTGAATGAATTGGCTAATTGAGCTACATGTATCCTCTCTAGTATGATTAATAAATCCTTTCAGTCCAGTTTTAGTCTTAAATGTGTGGCTCTGACAGATAATACTGATGATAGTGATGTTGGTCTGGAAAACTCCCCCTCAGAGCTCCTCCTCTTCTGTCACGGTGGATAAATGATCCAGCGTATTCCCATCCAATCCGTCTCTAGGCTCGTTGATGGGGCTTTTCTGTGTCCGTGGGGTCGAGGTGTCGCCTCCACGCTGCTGCGGCATCAATCATTTCATTTCCGTCCGGGATTCCGGACTTGTTAATGCTCCATGATCCTGAAGTAGTTTTTATGGATGAACATTTTTCTTATTCTGTCTGTTTCTTATCCTCACGAGTTCCTGTTTGTATTTCTTGGTATATTAGGAAAAAAAAACTGTGGAAATCATGCTGATTTAGGTTTTGGTAGAAAATCAGAGGTTTGACTGAGCCGTCACTGCTCTGGGCTCAGACTACAGGCTGCAAACCAGATGGAACAGAGCAGCATGAAAGTGTGGCTAACAAACTTTACTGTTCAAAGAGACTTGAATTTCTAGACATTTGTAAAATGGTGTTATTTTATTTTGCATTTTTACTTTATTGAAAATGAATCCATGATTCCAGCTCTAATAGACACATGAGTCATTTGTATTTAGGCCTAAGGCTGTGCCAAGATCAACCAAATATCAACCAGAAAACAGGCCACGACCAGGTGTAGACAGAGTAGTCAAGCGTTAGCCGTGACAGCTAAAGGAAAACTAAAACATTTATAAAAAGAAATATAAAAAATATAAAAAAACGAGTTAAATATTAAACAAGAAGAATGTTGACATCTAAAGTACCACAGTTAGCTGAGGTTAAGGTGAAGACTGACATTGAAGTTAGTTTTAAAAAAAGCCAGTGATGATCAACAGCATGGCCAGTGTTTGGAACATCATGAAAATCAGTGTAATGTTACACTATCTTCAAGCTAACGTTGCAGTTTAAAAGTTGTTACAAACCTGGTCAAAAATATTAAAACTAACCCAGCAGTGGCCAAGATTTGTTGTCCACGCTGTAGGAAATCAAACTGTGTGGTTTCTGCCGCAATCACTAATAATAAGTGTCTCCTTAGAGTCTGACGTAAAGACTGTCACGTGTTTCTGACTGTTTACCAACTGCTGCTGTGAGATATATTAAAACGAGCTACGAGCTAATCCTTTTGGGAGAGTTTGGAATTAGATGGATGATGGAGAAAAAAAGGAAAATCATGAATGAGACGTGAGGGAGTGGAGGTAATGGGGCTGCTTAAGTGGAAGAAGGAAAAGGAGGAGGAGGAGGAGCAGTTCTGCAGATGATAATGATGGTGATCAGCTGTTTGTGTTGTTTTTATTTTAAACTCCGATGATTTCAGCCTCCACTCTTTTGTTTCTTTTTTCCTCCCGTCTTCTCAGGGGGAAACTGTTTAAATAATGTTCCACTTCCTGTGATGAATGGACCAATCAGAAAACTGACTCCACCCCTTCCACCTGTACGTACACGCACGCACACACACACACACACATGCACACACACACACACCTATGTGATTTATGACAGAACTCTGTTTTTTTGGTTGGTTGGTGTGTGTGTGTGTGTGTGTGTGTGTTTAAATGATGCCACATCTGCTGTGGTATTTTATTAGTTTTTATTTTTATTTATAATAAAATAAATGTTCAGATTTTCTGCAGCTGTCTGTGTCCAGTTTAGACCTGTTACAGTTTTTTTATGCATTTTCTTAATATGATTTAGTTATTGATTCTATTTCATATGTTCAAAATTCAACTTTCATATTTTTCTACCTCATTTTTTTCTCCATTTCATTTAATTTTAATTTAAAAAATTTAGTTTTTTCACAGTTATTTATTGTTTTATTTTAGTTTATCCTAAATATTTAATGTTTTTTATTTTTCCTTCTTGTAAGTTCAGTTATCTGGTAGAATTGAAGTGTATCTGTAGGTGTTTTATTTGTTTTAGTTTTAGTTACTTCTGGACATTTTACTTATTTGTTTTTTTTTTCTTGTCAAAATATCTCACAATACATTTTAAATATTATTTTAAATTCAGTGTATCAGCAACATAATCACATTTTTAATGGTAAACTATTTCCTTTTGCTTAAAATCCATTTTTTATGTCTTGAATATTCTTTGTACGTGTGTAATGTTTAAGTTAAGTTTAACTTTTTGTAGACCTGAACTGAACTTGTCAGGATTTCAGAGAGAACGCCTGAGTTCAGCTGCTTCAGAAACATCTCAGTGTCGTTGACTTTTAGGAGCAGGATGAGAAACCGTGTCAGGTGTTAAACTGTCCAACAGTTGGCGCTGCAGCAGCAGAGGTCAGTACCTGAAGGAACCTCTGGTCTTTGAAGTAGTTGAACATGAAAAATTAAATAAGGTCAGTTTTTTTCTTCTTGTCTTTGCACGCCTCCTGCTGCGATGGATGTTTCATCATCCACCTGCTCCCCGACAGATTACTGTCATCTCAGAGCCTGGTGTTCATGCCTGATACTTTGGACTCCATCTGATACTGAGCCTAAAATATTTAAGCAAATCTTGAAAAAGTCGACTGGAGTTAGAATTAAACTCAACCTGAATCAAAACACAAACCAAAATCTGGAAATGAAGGATTTTTTTTCCCCCCAAACCAAAAAAAAGATCATAAATCCAATCAATATTTGTGTTACAGTTACAGTCTCACCATCAGCTGACATCAGTCCTCATCAACAAAACCTGAAATCATTTGAAATTGTATAATCCCTTATATTTTTATATTTTTTTCTGATAGAAATCTGACCAGTTACTCACCGTCGATGGGTGTGATGTAATCAGTCAGATGGGCGGCTCCCGTGGCTCCGCCCCCTGACATCAGCAGCTCATTGCCGTACGGACCACGGTGACCTGTCATCAGGTGGTAAAACTCTGCCGGGGAAGAACCAGGAGCAGCAGGGTGGAGTCCAAAGAGAGTGTGCTCCTTCAGCTGCTCTTGACACACTGACAGGTACAGAGAAGAGGCTTAGAAACGTCCAGAGCTGAACGCAGATTTCAAACTGTGGGAAATTATTATTATATATATATATTTAAATATAACTATATATAACCATAACTATATATATATATAGTTATATAGTTATATTTAAATATAAATATATATATATTTATATAAAAACTGAAAAAAAAAAGAAGAAAAGTCAGAGTTATCATGACAGATAAAAGAGGTACAAGATAAAAGAATTACAAATAGGTCAGATAAAAACCTGTATAATCTAATCTGTGAAGTCCAACAAGCAGGATTTCATCAATTAAATACTCGTAATTAGTAGTTTAACCTGTGGTCAGTAGTTTGACCTGTCAGTGGTGATAGCTGTGCCCGGTTCTTTACCATCTGATCTGGGGTCAGTAGTTAAAGCTGCTGTCAGTTGTTACATCACCAGTAACTGTCCAAACTTACACTGAGCTGGAGTCAGTCCTCTGGCTGCTGACATCATAGAGAGGGCGGAGCCTCCGTGGACTGACCTCAGGTACTGCTCCACATGGGCACTGACATAAGGGTGAGGTGGGCTGAAGGGGGAGTCGGCGCCGGAGAGGCGGATCAGGGAGATGTCAGAGATGATGGGGCTGGGGTTCAAGGCTGCAGGGCTGCAGGGGAGATAAGACAAGTGACATGAGGAGGAGGAGGAGGAGGAGGAGGAGGTGAAGGAGGAGTCATGAACTTTTTTCTGTCGTGCTGCAGAGTGACCAACGTCATTACCACTCTGTCCATAAAAGTCAGGTCTGAGAAGTCTGAGTGAAACACCTGAACTCTGTACTTTATGTAGTTCGTAGTAAACTGTCCTGCAGTGGTCACCAGTTCTGTCCCTCGTTCCTGGTGAAAAAGTACCGTTTCCTGATGGAAACACCAGTGGATTGTGGTAAAGTTTTATGTTGGAGGAACTGATTTATAACATTCGCTGGACTTTGACAGCAAACTTTTTCTTCCGTAGTTTTTTGACAACAGAAGAAAGTTTAGGAATAAAAAACACGGAGGTGATGAAGTGACATTTCCAGGAGTCACTGATGAGCAGCAGCTCACTCATGTGTGTGTCTGTATGTAGGTCACTTCCTCCTCAGCAGGGGGTGGCGTTGTTTCTGTGTGTATATATGAGTACGAGGGTCTTCTCGTTCATGCAGCCGTAAAACTGATAAAAACTACAGTCGGAGTTTATTCATCCCTGAGCCGAACCAGGCTGTGATTTATCAACATCATGGCAGCAGCGTTCCTCAGATTCCACTTCGCCGTGTCACACTGTAATCCATCAAACACACACACACACACACACAAACATGTACATGAAAAATGAAGAGGTCGCACAAACAAACAGACGCAGGAGACTGAGACCAAACAGAGCTGCTCCTGACGCCACTCACTGATTTATCTAATTTTATCACAAGTTTAAATACTAAAAAAGGCAAAATACCAAAAATAATTGAAGAAAAGCAAATGAACTACAGAGATTTGTTAAAAACCAGGCAAGAAAGCTAACCCTAACCAAGGACCAGGAGTTGTCTCAGGAACTGGTGAATGAACCAGTAGGAGGGTGAAACCTGAGAGAAGATCAAATTAAAGTTAGCTCTGAAGGAGCTGTTGTTAAAAGTCTTTATTTTAGTTCCTTCTTTTCACAGGACTGAAATGTCTTGAAGTTCTTAACTCAGTACTGAACCAGTTAGAAGTCCCAGGTCCTGTCCTCATAGTCACAAAACAGGACAAAGGACAGAAGAAAAGGAAGAGGAAAGCGTGTCTGCCCCGAGCTGCTGTTCCTGTCAGTTCTGACAAAGAACCGATTCCCCTCATTACTGTTTATGCAAACAGTGATAAAGAGGACGGTGCTGGGACGTCATGTCGGACACTGACAGTAGGGACCTTCTGACACGTTACAGCGTTACCAGAACAAAGCACCGTGCCGGCACACAAATGACACCGCACTTAATTTGCTGCGCAATGTTCCTGTAATTAGGGTGAATTTGGCACCGGCACCGGGAACCGACAGCCTGATCAAGGTCTTGATGAATTAGGGGTCCACTGTCAAGATCAAATCACATTAATCATGGCGGCCGAGCGCGTGGACAGACTCGTACTTTCCCGCCGCTGTGATGAATGACTGCGCTGCTGCGCGGCGCCGAGCGTGCTGCGGCAGCACCGTCACATCTCTGCATTTCAATGGAACAGAACTGTGTTTTTTTTTGGTCCAGGCCTGATAAAGTGATAAAGTAACTTTAAAGTCCTGCAGGAACCAAGATGTTCTTCTTCAAAGTGTGTCACAGACTCTGTGGAATCAAAGTCTCCCTCACCAAAATGTCCCAACAAGTTCTGTATGTCACCGATCTGCACGTCTTTCTGGAACCAGAAAGTCACAACAGTACCTGGACCGCCTCGTGGCTCAATCTGTCAACTGTCATATTCAGAGAAAGCTCCATTAGAACTGTTTGGAAACAACAGTACTCAGTACTTTGTTCTTTTTGTGGAAACACATTTCGTGTCTGTTAGTGAGAAGAGCTTCAGCTACAACTGTCTGTTGTTTCTGCACAAGTTGTCGAAATCATTTGAAATCCTTTGTTTAAATTGACCTCAGTGACCCAAAATGACCACAAGAGGCAGCAGTGGACCAGCAACTCATCGGATTTTCTCGACTTTTTCCTTCATGTCCAAATACTGAAAAACGAAGCTCTGAGGTTTATGACCTGCTCTAGTTTTTGATAGTTTTTGAAAACCTGCTCAGGAAAAGAAATGGCTTTGAATGTGTAATTAAACTGACAGCAGGGGGGGGGCTCTACCCCCCCCCCCCCTCCCTCCATCCCTGTGGCTGTTCTCTGACCTCTGTCCAGCCAGAGTTTAATTACAGCTCTGATTCCGGGGCAGCGTCACCTACATCACCTCTGTTTAGTCGAGGACCTTCTTTATAAACTGGGAGTAAAAAAAGGTTCCAAAACAGATAAACTGATAAAAAAAAGTTCAGTCCCGGTGCTAATGAAAGAGTTCTGAACCAGAACCGATTTAAAAGGTTTCAAACCAGCGCAGACAAGAAAGAAGGAAATACATTCTAAGGAATAGAAAATATGGAAAAAGAAAGAAAGCACCAGAGGAAACAGCTCCACCTACCTGTGCATGGTGTGCAGGGCATGAGCTTCATAGTGAACGCGTCCGTCATGGTGATGAATGTCGATCGGCATCGGAGCATGGAAGGATGGGAAGGTGTGGAGGGAGGCTGTGTGGATAAGAAGAGAAGGAGGAAATTAAGGAATATTCAGAAGAAACAAAAAGAAAGTTGTCTTTGTGGAAAATGTACAAGAATTTTTCTCAGAATAAAAACCACTGCAGATGTTTTTTTTTCTTTCTTGTAAAACATGGGAAAAGACTCTGCAGATGTTTTTTTTTTCTTTCTTGTAAAACATGGGCTAAATCACAGGAGGGAAGAAGATAAATAAATCATCAAAGAACATCCTCAGAAGATCTCCAAAATGAAAGCACTCCAGCTGAGCTGTGAACAAAGACCTCCACACAGAACCTTCACCACCAGACCGTCTGTTCTGCTCTTACATCTGCAGCTCTTCATTCCGTGTTCCAGCTCCTAAACTTCTCACTGTTCCACTGTACAAAAGTCCACGGAGAAAACCTGTGATTTAACAGCCACCGTTGTCTCGACACTGAGTTTTAACGTGTTATTTTATAACTTGACTGTTTGAAACCCTTTGTTCAGATTTTCCCAAATGAAACAAACTCACCACCGGAGGCAGTAGTGGACCAGCAGCTCCCGCATTTCTCTGAGGTTTCCTCAATGGACGGGATATGGAGGGAGTGGACTATTACAGTCCAGATGTAAAATAATCTGACCTGGAATGACTGACCTCATTTACCTTCACGTTCATGTCAGCCATGTTTTTTTATTTAAATGTCAGTTAAAAGCTGTAAATTTAGGTTTGGGTTATTTTTGTCTTTAACAATAAGTTAGTTGTACTAAATACTTTTGACCTGGTTTTGCAAAAGTGTCCAGGGTGGACAGTCGCCCTCACCTGTTGATTGCTGGGATTACCTCCAGCCACCCATCCACACCAAATATATCAAATATTTACTTAGCTTTACTGCTGACTTTTCATTTTTGCTATTTATGGACTAACAATTGTTTTTCTCACTCTCTCTCTGTCACTCTCCCTCTCTCTCTCTCTCTCTGTGTCTCTCTCTCTCTCACACCCAGAGTGCAGTGGGAATCTCTCAGGCTGAGTTGGGAATTCTACTGCAGACGAAGAACAGAAAGATGGATGAACACATATCTTGACAAAGGTCACAGTCACAGGTCATTATCTCCACTGGGGGGCGGAGTTGGTGTGGTCAGGGGAGTACACAGTTGGACACATGGTGGGGCCTTTATGGTCTCCCAGGACCCCAGACCTGAGTGAGTGAGTCAGCCTTTTCACTGTCACAGGTTTCCAATCCAGCCCTCAGTTGTTGTTGTTTTTGTTAATAATAATTCCATTGTTCCGTCAGTAAATGAGCTGTGATATTTTTGGACATTTGTCGTCCTAATCTGAAGTCCAACTTTGGTCAAACTGTGTCCTGTTTAGATTCAGATCGATGGATTGGCTCTTTTTAATCCAGGCAGAATTTTCCAGCGTGCGAGGATTCCAGGCCATTAGGATTAGCAGGATTATTCCATCACAGGCGCGCCTTCCATTGTTCTGTCAGCACAGTTAAGACAAAAGGCCTTTTAAGGAACCTGCCTGGACCTGATCCAGGGTCTGTATCCCCCCACATGCCCCCCCGCCCCCCCCCCCCCCCCCCCCCCTCCGCCGCTCCCACTCTACACACT